TTAGCCTTGCAGATTACATCGTCTTGCTTTTGTTGCTGCAAGTTTCTGAGCTACAGCCCGCAACAGTTAGATCTGCGTAATCTGGAGTTTTTGGCAACAGCGGTTGCGCAGTTCTTACCATTACGGGCCTGAAGAAAACGCAGCCTCAGAACCTGCATCCTGAATCTGGGATTTCGCAGGCCTTTCGGATTGGGCAAAAAAGTCAAGTCGGAGAAACGCTGGCCAAGGCTCCGGAGTGCGCAGCTCTTACCGTGAGAGGCCTGACTAACACCAAAAACTTTTCTTTAGGGGTGTCTCTGATTTTGCGAGTGGTTGGAATCAGAGTTGGAAGAAACTTGAAACCATGGTTTTGCCCAGTTGCAAGGAAGGATTTGCTACTGGGTAAAACACACTTGTCCCATGGTCAAACCTATGCATAAGCCTGACATTCTAAACAATGCATCGAGAAAAACAAGAGTTTTGCCTTGTATGTTTGTGTTTTTGCATAGTTGTTGTCTTGTTAACTGCTTGAGCAGCTACTACCGCGGTGGGCTTACAGCACCACGCAACGCAGGCTTGAGTGGAGATGTTAGCATAGAGCTTGGAACTTGCCGGAAGCTGTTGATGTAAAGAAACGCGACAGAAAACCACAACAACAAACCAGCGCGAAGGCTGCTGAAACAAACGCCCGCCGCAAAAGCTGGTGGAAAGAACCGGCCACAGGGACTGTAACCGACTGTAACCAGCCACGGGGGCCGGCACAACCAGCCCAAAGCTGGTGCGAAAAAAACCGGCCAGAGGGTACGGTAAGACCAGCCCGAAAGGTGGTGAACAATACCGGCCGCGGCCAACCAGATAGCCAAACGAGCCTAAAGCGCTAAAGCAACATGTGTCTGGCCAAAGCTAACCCGTAAACCCCCGCACGGTCTACTCCAACATGCACTCCAAGGGAAACGCGACCTATAAGCGGATCATCGAGGATGACCTGATCAGGGTCGACGGCGCTCCCTTAAGTCGAGTCGAACAGCTGTGTTGGACCCAACTTGGTCCTTTGGAGCAAGGCCCTAGAGCCGACCAGGGCGTGTGGGGTTCCGTGAAGAGGAAAATGAAGAGCATCACCTGCATCATCTGCTTCTGACGGATGAGTTTTTGGGCGGTCTCAAAATCTGAGAAACCAAGAATCTTGAAACTTTAAGCCCTTAAAATTTTCAGTTCTGAAAAGAAACACTCTGCAAAACATTAGAATCTTGATATCTGGAAATGAAATCTAAAGATCTTAAAACCTTAAGATCTTCACATCTTAAAGCCTTTAGAAATCGAAATAAGAAAGTGTTAAAGCCGTAGCATTTTCAAATCGTAGAATCTTAAAACCTTGAAACCCTAACGTCTTTAAAAACTGGGAATCTCAACCACCTTAAAATCTTGAAACCTGGAAATCCCAAAATGTTGAAACCTTAAAAGCTTTAAACCTTTTCAGTCTTGAAGCCTTCAAATCTGGAAACCCCAAAACTTAAAAGCTTGGAATAATCGTTGAATAGGAGGCTCTTAAGCCCTTAACATCTCAAAATTGTAAAATCTGTAAGCCTTAACGTCTTAAAATGATAGAACCTGAAAACCTTAAAACCTTAGAGTCTGAAAGTCTTGAAAAATTGAAACCTTAAAATCTGAAAAGCATTAGATATTGAATTTTGGAAATCTTAAATTGTTAGACTCTTAGAATCTTGAAATCTTAAAAAGCTCAAAATCTTTGTATGTTGAAGGCTCAACCTACTCGAGTAGGTTGAAGCCTTAAAATCTTTAAACCTGGCCTCAAAACCCAACTTCGCAAGAACATGGCAGCCAAAGACCGCCAGCAAATGGGAAGCTCTACTAAAAAGCCCGCTTCACGAAAAGCAGCCGTAAAGCAGCCAAAGACAACAAGCAAATGGGAAGGTCTACTAAAAGAAACCCTCTTCACGAAAAACACCAGGACGACCGAGCAGGCAAGTGACAGGTCGCGCGCGCACAAAGCCGCTTGCGCTGGACAGTGTCTTGCAGTCGTTCATGTTGTTGTTGTCGTTGTCGTTGTAGTTGTGGTTGCAGTTGTACTTTTAGTTGTGGTTGTGGTTGCGGTTGTTGTTTCTGTTGTTGCTACTGTTGTTGGCGGTGGTGGCGGCGGTGGTTGGGGCGGGGAGCGGGGTGGGTGGGTGGGTGGGCGGTGGGTGCGTGGGCGGGTGGTGGCGGGTGGGTGGGCGGTCGGGTGGTCGGTGGTTGTTGGTTGTTGGTGGTGGTGGTGGTGGTGGTGGTGGTGGTTGTTCGTGGCAATTGTTGTCGTGTTTGGTGGTGGTGTGGGTGTTGCCAATGTAATGTCACGTAATGTCATGTCATGTGACTATGTATGTACGTATGCATGCACGTATGCATGCATGCATAAATGTGTGGATGTCTTTGTATGTAGGTAGGTAGGCAAGTAGGTAGGTAGGCAAGCAGGTGTGTGTGTGTGTGTGCGAATGTGCTTGTGTGTTTGTATGAAAATATGTCGAGAGTCGAGAGCGAGATGTGTGTGCGTGCGCGCACGCGCGGGCGCGCGCGCGGGCGTGAGCGTGTGGGTGTGCGTGCGCGTGCGTGCGCGCGTGCGTGCGGGTGTGGGTGTGTTGTTGTGTTGTTGTTATCGTCGTCGTCGTCGCTGCTGCTTGCTTAGCTGCGCTTGCAAGAGCTGCGAAAATTGAGCGAAGGCCTAGCCCGGAGGGCTACCTTCAGGAATAAGGCTTCGTGCCAAGCGGCCGACGTAGCGAAAAGCCCTAGTGCGGTCGCTTTTTCCTTTGCTCAGGAGCCTTGGGGCCACAGGTTTCCAAACTCGGAGCCCCTCATGAGTTGTCAAACATGTGTTTGGGGAAGGTTTGTGGGTCACCAACTTTAATTTAACTCGCTTTAGATGTAGCACCATCAAATGTTTCAGAAATATCTAAGACCCTGGTCAAAACACGCGGTGTTCTTAACGTACTGATCGAGAGTAGCGAGGACCTAGCGCAGAACTGTTGCGCTGCGCCCGCCACAATATGAGGCGAAGGATTTGCGAGTTTTTCTGGAATTTTTGAGGATTAAAATAAAATGGAATGTTTTTGAGGGCACCTGTAGCGGACAACATCCCCTGTATCACCTGCACCATCTGCATCCACGGCACACATCAATGCGGATGGATCATTATGTGGAAAATAGATGAAACATGGATGTGAAGGGGGGCACAGTGATGGAAAGTTGATGGACGATTGATGGAAAAACGATGGAACATGTATCTGGAAAATTGGAGCTTGGCTGCGGGCGCTTGAATGCAGGGACTAGAAGGCCACCGCCTGTGTCGCGTCAGCGCTTAAGCTTAAGTAAATGGTACCCCCCCCTTTTTGAAGAATTCACTGGTATTTGCAGCGTTTTCTACCATTTTTTGGCTTTGGGGAAGCCATGGAAAAGACACATGTCCAAGGACATTCTGGAAGCTTCGATTTAAACCGATTTTCCCCGATTTAAGTTAAATCGGGCTTGGATTCAAGATTCAAGATTCAAGAATCCAGGCCAAGATTTTCCAGGGAATCTTGAATCCAGGCCTCGGTTTAAAACGATTAAACCGATTTAAACTTAAATCGGGCCTGGATTCAAGATTCAAGATTCAAGAATCCAGGCCAAACTTTCCAGAAAATCTTGAATCTTGAATCGTTTTCAATCGAGGCCTGGATTCTTGAATCTTGAATCTTGAATCCAAGCCCGATTTAACTTAAATCGGTTTAAATCGGTTTAAATCGATGCCCGAAATCCACCTTGCGCGGCCGTGCTTTGGCTGAGCGCGCTCAAGCATCCAAGTTCTGATCATTCAAAGGCCATGTCGTGCTTCTCAGTGAAGGGCTCCGTCCTCTTCAAGGACGGCTCCCCGTACGTCAAGATCTCCCCGACTACCCAAGCCCCTGCCGAGGCCAATGCGTTTGAGGGCAGCATCCTCAACCAATGCCCAGGACGTATCTCCTTCGACTGTTACCAATACCCCCTGGCCTGCCTCAGCAACCAGGTCAGACCAGGAAATCCTGAAGTGCATCAACAATGGTGCTGCCAAAGCACATCCGTCTCGCCTTCCCATGACGCCAGACGTTCTACGGCTCATGCTCAACAACATCCAAGGTCAGTTCAACTTACAAGTTGGGATGGCTGGGGCCTGGAACTCCCTCGCTGACGCGCGCCTCTTGGAGTTGCTGGAGAAGCCTAAGAAGAAGAGGGGCGGCAAGGCACTTGCCATCGAGGACACGGACATGGAGCAGGCGCCACAGCTAGCCATAGCAGATGCGCCTGTTCCAATGGGTGCCGAGGACACTGCGCCGCAGGAGGACAATGAGGAAGCAGCATCGCCGAGCAAGTCGTCTACGGCATCCTCACTGACCGCTCCCGGCTACCAATACTCTGACGTGGCCAGCTGAGTTCCACGACGCCTACGCATGTGGTGTGATGATGCTTGAGTCTTCTGGAAACGACGCTGAGCGTCGTGCAAGCATCCAAGTCCTGCGCGCGTTTGCCGCGGCCAAAGACATTCTTTCCTGCAAGGGAACTGACAGGAGAGTATACAACAAAGGCAAGGTGTCTTAATCTGGGGTTGGTGTCATCTGTGGTCTTGCGGTCATCTGCGTTCTTCTTTTGCTTGCCGCCGCCGCAGCCTTCATTTTGTCTACTTCTTGTGCTCCTATCCTTTCTCGTTGAGATTCTGAGGTGTCATCATCACTACCGAGGTTGCCGGTGTCAAATACAAATTGAGGGTCTTGCCGGAACCTGCCATCTACACCAACGAGCCGGGGGAGCATATCACCATCCCGCCCTTCTTGAGTGGGGTATGCCGCCCATTGTGCACCAAAGACGTCAAGTCTGCCTCTGTCATCTTCGACACACATGTTGGCATGTCAGAGTGTGGCAGCGCAAGCGTAATCACCCAGTGTGTCGCAGAAGGAAAACTTGCAGAACTTCCTCCGCCACTTCGCTTTGCTACCATTCCACCTGAAACGAGCAAGGTCGACATCATCATCCACAACACGGGCGACGGCTGCATGGACGTGGTCAAGGTCATCTACTTGGAGAAGACCATTTCCTCCAATGTAGCTGTGGCTATGTGTAGCGGCACGGCTTTTGTGCCAGTATTTCGCTCAGGCCCGCAGTGGGCACGGCTTTTGTGCTGTCAAGAAGGCCACGCAGTGGGCGTTAGCGAGGATGTGTGGTCGTCATGTTCATTGGCATGAGCTACACGAGAAGTCGCCAGACAAGTCGCAGTGCAGCCTACAGAAGGCAAACTCAAGCCAGTGGTCGCCTGAAAATGATGATCTTGCAGAGGGCGTCCGCTACATCAACTCCTTTGCCCCGGAGTGCGACGCGCTCAACGAGCAAACGTTCTGGATCCTCACGAACATCAAGCCCGACTGCGGCTCCCCCGTGGCTGGCTGGCCAGAAATGAAAGTCAGACTCATGTGTCAGAATAAAGCCAGAGGTGTGTCTGGAGCCGTTCCGCACAACGAGTTCCCGCTCAACACATACAGTCCACATCCTGGCTTCGCGGAGCACATTCTCCCGCTCATCTACCCGTTCCTCATGAGCACAGCAGTGCTCATGCTCGGCTGCCAAAGCCGCCTGCCATCATTGCTATGGCCATGGCTATGGGGCGCTACCACATCTGGCGACTAGGGCTACAGGGTGCGAAACCGAAATGGCGACGTGGAAAATCGCTTGATCCAGGAGGCGCTTTTCCTTGATGATCCCTCGTCTCGGCGTCTAGACATTGCTGATGTCAAGTCCTCGATGAGGATGGAGCGGTCGGTACTGCGATGCCCGCATGGCGAAGAGCTCCCGGGGCTCTTGCCTTCAGATACAACACCCCGCAGCTTTCTTCCAGCTGGTGGGCCCTCTTTTCGAGTTCGCGCGCATGAAGGACATCCTTGCGGTCATGAAGAGATGCGTCACCTTTGTGTTCACGGAATCCGCTTTGTGTGTCCGCCTGCCCTCCGAGTGCCACGATGCCATAGTCCATCGCATTACCAAGGACAACATGCACTTGGACTTGTTGGCACTCAAGGACAAGCATCTCTATGGCAGCTACAAGAATGGTGTTACGCTGTACGGTCCCAACCATACAGCCGAGGTGGCACGGGAGCAATCTATGATAGGTCATGGCGTGGAGCGCATGGCTCAGTTTTTTACTACTGTCAAGAAGTACGTGGAGGATTGCGATTGCAGACATGGCTTCGCCCTGTTCGTGTTCTTCCGTCCTCTCCAGATTCTCCTGAACAAGCTGGGCAAGCTGTAGACCTTTGTCTACCTCATTTCATTGGCACAGGGCCGAAAGCCACCCGCGTGAGGCGGCTCAAAGTTCCGTCGCATCCGCAGCAAGTCGCCTGCCCGTGGGATTGCAGCAATCCGGACAACTGTCTCCCCTGCTATGTCAGAAGCACCTGATCATCCTGATCAAGCCGACACCTTGCTACCAGACATCGACGCTGATGCAGCCGCGCCTACGAGCCTGGAGCCATCTGACGGCGTGCTGGCGGACTTCGAAGCTGATGAGGATGTTGTCAGTCTGATTGCATAGCAATGAAGTGTCATGCAGCCACGTGCCCCCACAAACGCATTCATCCCCGCTGTTTGCTCTTGACTTTTGCCAAGGGCTCCTCAGATGTAGCGCATGTGGTCTTGTCGCCATGGGGAAGCACTACAACGCGAAGAAGGGTCGCGCCATGAAGACGCCGTCCTGGTCGAAGGTGAAGTACCAGTGCCACTCAGACGGTGAAGGCTTTCTTCGGCGTGATCAGATGAAGTGGTGTCGTACCCTGTAGGAGCTTCTACAGGCAAGCGACAAGCAGATTCTGTCTGTGCTCCGCAAGGACAAGTTCATCCCCGATTCGACTGGTGCAACCTGTCCGCGATGTGAAGAAGGCGTCCTCGGTCCTCTCGCCCCTCCCGAGCTGCTCACGCGCATCGCTGCAGCAAGAAGAGATGCCAACCCATTCACCTCCGCCCGGTCTTCACGCCGAAGAATGGTGCCACCCTCTCCAACTTCAGGCCGCAGCCCTCCTCTTGCGGCTGGGGAATGTGTCCTTGAGCACCATTCATATCCTGACCCAGATCAACCACAAAGCGATCGAGAAGATGGGCCGCAACCTTGACTTGGTCCGCAAGTGGCACGTCCGGCGAGAGGAGAAGAAAATTGTGTTCGGTGGCGCTGCACGAGCATGGCGGGATGTCGGGGTCGACGAGGCCACCTTTGATAAGAAGACTCTTCAGCCCTTTGAGTTGTCTGACGCAGATGCCAAGGCCAACAAGAATGTCCGCTGGGAACAATGGGCAGGCCTGATACAACGCGGATGTCCAAAGACGCTCGTGCTGTTCAACCTCAAGCCTCCCAACACTGTCAGTCGCTCCTGGTCCTGGGGCGATGCGCAAGGTGGACTGGAAGCCCATCGCTCTCACGTGGCTGCAGAACAGACGGGTGGTCCTGCATTCCGACTCGGCCCGGTCATACCGCCTCAAAGTGCCTGGCGTGCTTCGCGACGCCGTCGCGCACAAGAAGAAGCGAGTCAAGAAAGGCAACACGCATGTCTGGGTGAAGCCATCCTACGTCAAGATCTCCAAGCACAAACTCCCAGACGGCCGCCTTCTGAAGACTAAGTCTGGTACTCAGATCATAGATCGAGTTTGGCGTTTCATTTGCGTCGCAACCAGTGTGTCGCTGCTTCCTCCAAGGCGCTAGTCACGCAGATCAGGGGTGCTCAGTACGAATACTGGCACCGCAATGAAGATCTGTGGCGCTGTGCAGGACAAGTCTTGCATGACTACATGCGGCCTGTAGTGTGCAAGTCCCATTAATCCCCTCTGCCATGTTTGAAGGGCAATATCTGAATATCTGAAGCACACATCATGCGCTGGAGAGAGCAAAAAGGTAGGTCCCTGGGGGGGGGGGGGTAGCAAATACATTTTTATCTATATATTAGGACCCCCCCAATACCAAGGTTTTCCTGCTTTAACATGTACATGTTGCATGTTTTTTGTATAGAAAGTCGCTTGTTTGAGGAGAACCTGGAGTTGAGTTGGGGTCCTGCTAAAGATCAGAATACATGTTTTACTACAAGTGCTTGATCATCGTTCTGTGTCATTGGATGAGTATAGATCACATAACTGACTGATTTATAATTCAGTGTTGGGGTTTATAAACGTCCAAGTCTGGTTTATAAACTCTTGACGTTGGATTGGGGGGGGTCCGTGGCAACTCTTGAGAGGGGGCCGCGGCAACTCTTGAGGCCTCCCCCCCCCTTCAAGAGTTGCCAGGGACCCCCCCCCTCCCCCTCATCCAACTGCCAGGAGTCCAAGAGTTTAGAGTTTATAAACCAGACTTGGCAGTGTATAAACTAAATTTGCGGGGAATGCTGAGCCTACACAAATTGGATTCTGAGACAATTTCAATGCACAATTTGAATCTGTTTAATGAACAGCTACTGGCTCGGGCAAATTTAAGCCTGTGTTGGCTTGCTGCGTGGCAAATGATATTTCTTGTTTGGGATATTCAGCTCTTCGATCCAGGTGAACGCGATTTTATTTGGAGCACCTGAAATCTAGAATCTGGAGATTTGAACCTCCGAAATATCAAATGTGAGTTCGTTTGCAAATAAGATGTTACTTCAAATTGAACTGACATTTTGAATAGAATTTGGTAAGGACATACTTCACGTGAAAATCTATATTCCGTTAGAATTTAAATAGGAATTCCTTTCCAAATCGGAGTTAAAGGCAATAATTCAATTGGCCTCTGAACATCATTTCAAATAGGAACTCATTCCCAAATGCATTTAGATTAAATGTGGCTTAAACAAGAGTGGTATTTGTTTTCATGACGAAACCAGCCCAACCAGAACTTAGGTTTAAAATAGAGTTTGAACATGAGCTCCCTTGCAAACGTGGCTTTAATTAAACGTCAATTGAAATGTAAAATAGAATCTAGTAATGACAAGGTTTTGCATTGCGATTCATTATTCTTTTGTTTGCACTATGGACCTTGTTGGTCCGGATTTTCTGTCTGTGTTGTTCTTTTTGGGCCAGCTTCAGAGCTTTCATCTTCTTCAGGTTCTGTTTTTGTTGGGCTGAGAAGGGGCGTAGGCCCAGGTTCAAACCCCAGTAAAATGTGACGAAGCGGGTGGCCCGCTTTGGCATTTCAGAAATGTTGGTTTGGTTCACACAACCGTGAAGGCAGGATTTCACCAAACGTGCTCAAATGAGGTTGGGTCAACATACTTGCTATAGAAACCATTTGAGAATCAATTGGACATAGATTTGGGCGTGTTGCCTGGTGTGCAATGCCCCCCCTACCGATGGCCTCAGGTTCCTGACTAGCATTTTTTGGGGCTCAAGCTGCACAAACAGATTGTGTTGCTTTACTACGTGTGCTCGAAACCAGTGTAAACATCAAAGTTTTCAATCAAAACCATGCTTGAAGCCGAACACATAAGCCGTTTTGGACTTGTTGCCTTTTTCAATCCTCAAAAGACGAAACACCTGCTACCGTAAAGAAGGTGACACATCATCAACAACACCCTATGTTGCAGCGCTTTCAGTCATGTGGAAAAAGAGAAGTGCAGAGTAGATATGACGCTTTCAAACTAGCGGCCATCCACCCCCACCTACCTTTCTACACACCAACTACGCAAAACCTCTGATTTTAGAGGCAGAAGTGAGAATCGCAGGGAAACAGCATTGTGTCCCGACAGGAATGGTTGTGCTGTCCTGCAACGCTGGTGCAAGAGTTCGGAATACGAATCGCAGCAACGCATAGGCTGGGTTGGAGAACTTGTGACTTGAGCCAAACGTGGCCACCACTTGTATATGTTACAAACATACATGTCGCTGTGGTACTATTCACAAAAAACAGCAATGAGTTCATAAAATGCTGGAAGTCACCTCTGCGTCTGCCCTGCAAAGCATTCATCATTTGCCCCACAAGTCAAATAAAACAAAAAATATTGGTATTGGGAGGGGGTCTTAGCATATATATATATATTGAATTGAACAACCCCTGTTCTACTAGAAACGAATTCGACACATGCTAGACGCATGCAGCAAATTTGCTGCACACCTACTGGAACTAAACCAAACATACCATGCTGATTGTTCAATGCTATGGCAAGTTGTCAAGTCAGCAATATTGAGCATTCTGTTACACACATGCAAATGTAGAACATAATGTGCTTATGCAGTTGCTTGTTGAACTATACTGCTTTCAACATGAGGCATATCTTTTCAAATATGTTGATGTTCCTAAACCTGTCAAGCCAGGCTCTCCTGTCCAAAGCAGGGCCAGCAGCCAGCGCATTCGTCACATGGCCAGCCACGAAGCAAGTGCTCTCATGTGTCTGTGTGTCTGTGTGTCAAACTGGGAACCTTTCAAGAAGGCTTTTCGAGGGAGGGTTCCCCAATTTGCGGTCCCTTGTGTCTGAGCAATGATGCTCTAACTGAAGTCTTGGCGTCAAGCGGGTCATTTTCCAGGCGCATCTGCAAAATGGCAAACCCCCATGGAAAAGGCCAGGAGCGAGCCGCGTGACATGGAGCGACTGAATACTAGCGATGTGAAGAGAGAGAGGGAGGGGGGAAGGGCGCCGAAAGAGGGGCACGGCTACAGAACCCTCCGCGCCACAGGACATCAGCATCCGAGATTCCTCGGTTGCACGAGGGGCCATGGAACCCCACTTCCAGCACCTAAAAGACCTCCAATTATCTGTGACCTGTCTCTTGGAACTAGAAACTAAAAACGAGCTTGTTGTCTGCTCATAGAGCTTGCTTTAAAGATAGGCGCTCGGGGTTGGCATCCTTTCTAGGTCTGTGGTGAAACAGGACCCTATGACATTCGCCCAAAACAAAACGCCTCGGGTCCCCAACTCTGAGCCTCTCAAGGCTCCGGCGCTTGGTGCGAAGCCCAAGTCGTGGATGCTTTTCTCATGGGCCTCACAGCCAACAGCCTGCCTCAACCAGCTGGAAGTTCAGCCGCGTTGAACAATCTCCCAACACAAACGCAAACCCAAACCGTAATTTGTAAGCCGACCCAAACCCCACTGAAAGCCATGACATGCGAGCCCCAAAGCTTCGCCTGCCAGAAGGTCAGAGGCTGCGCTAGTTGCGAAGCCTGCGCCAATTTCTATCACACGATGGATTCGGGCGGGTTGCAAGAAAAAGCACCGAAACAGCACTGCACACGTTCGGTGAATGCTCTTTTGCCGTCTTCTGGCACTCGTTTTCACATGTGCCCTGCATTTGTTTCCTTGAGAGACAGGCCGCCGACTTCATATATGCGTAGTTCATGCGGTTGGATCCTGTGCTGCGCATCATTCACGAGGGGGCTTGTGTCCATGAAGCATTTTTGAGGGTGTTCCCGGGTAAAATCGCAGCCATGTGTCTCCCACAGAGGTCTGTTTAAACATGGAAGAGGGGTGTGAGTTGCCAGCCCACGCTTACATGCTTTCCATTTGGCTTCATATAAACTGACAAGACGAGGCTTGACCTGGTCCGTTTAGCGGGCCCATCTACTTTTGTTCGCTGTGCAATTGTGACGGTGACTGACGTTCCAGTTTGAGGTGTTTTGCGAGAAGCTTCGAAAAGGAGGCACAAGTGGGGGTTGACACCAGGTTGAGGCCTCCAACTTTGGTGGACTTGCAGGATAAAATAGTAAAACAGTTTGCAACCAGTATTCGGAGAACTATTGAATTGAAATTACGTGTTGAGCTCGGGCTGGCATGGTCACAGTGAGACTTTCTGTCGATGGGATCCACTTGAGCTAGACTTGAAATTTGCACTTCAAATAGGTCCCGTGCGCAGCAACAAGCAGACCATCTGATGCTGTCTGTCAGGTTGAGCGCCTACCTTCATGACCCGTGATTGGTACGATCCATGACTGGTTGATCATGGTTTAGTGGTTTCTGGGAGTAGAAGGTGTATTGGCTAAAGTGGTCTGATGCCATGCATCAGAAGAACTATTGCTCCCCCGCCAAAGAAAAGTTGGCTGCGCATGCGAGCAACTGGTGAAACCTCCGAAGAATGAGGGGGTACTAGTCTTGCCTTTCTGGATAGGACTCCGCATAATACAATGACACCGCAAGGGGTTGAGGCAAGGCACACCTGACAAATGCTCCAGCGCCATGAGTGGTTTCAAGGACTTCCAAGCTTGCAAGCCTTCTATCCATGGGTCCAACGCGGCACCCAGGCACCCTGTCACGTTGCATTCATTTCGGTCCAAACCGACACTCGAAAGCTCAAGGCACTCGACCTGGCGCGGAAGATTGGAAAGGCCGGCCTCAATTTTTTTTGGGGGGGGATCCGAGAGTCCCGGGACGTGCCAAGTGCGCATGGGAAATCGAATTCAATGGCACGCACTCATGGTCTTAGCCTTTTCCTCGCCGGACTTAGGGTGGGCTCCCGCAGTATCAAGTGTGCATGGAAGATTCGCCTCTCGACCAGGCAGGAGGCCGGTGCAAACCCCACGTATGTTTGCCATGCAACGTCGTGGCTCGGCCTATCAGGCCAATAGCCCTTGTCATCACAAGCTTCACGCTGTTGTACTGCTTTGAGCCAAGCTTCTTGTTGCATGGCAAAGGTTTAACGCATGCGCTTGTGGCTTCACACAAATACGAGTCAAAGGTTTCGAAGTTGCTCTCAAACGCTCACTTCCAGCCAAGCACCTCGGCTTTCATCCGCATTGTCCAAGTGGCCGCTTTAGTGGCCCTCTGGGCTCGGGGCAACCTTGCCAGCTTGCCCCGACAGCATCGCTGAAAAGCCCTCCTCGTATCTCTCCACGTCAAACCTGGCGGATCAAGAAAGGACCCGCAATAATTCTGGAACTGTAGGGGCCATGACGCTATGATTCGACCAATGAGTCACCAGCAACAAATCCAAAGATCTGACAACCGTGGAGTAGTTGATGTTGACTACCGACATGCTGACACGCGCGAAACTGACAGTCACGGGCGAGGCATCAACCCGCCTGTGAGTGATGACAGGCATGATCTTGTCCTGAAGTCCGCCGACCAGCATGCTTTGCCTTACCAATGGATCAGTTGCGAGCCGTTCTTTCAAGAAGCCAAACAATTGAATGGCTCCAGTGTTCAGGACTTGCCGAAAGAAAAAAGTATGGCATCGCCTCGACGGCTAGGCCTTGTTCTTGGCACATGAGCCTTTCCTTGGGACAATGCAACCCGTCGGCGTTCAGCTTGCCATGGTGCATCTTGTACCAGGTCTCGAACATCTCCCGGCCATAGATGCCCTTGATGATGAGGCCCTTGAAAATCACGAGATCCCAGTTGATCTCGAAGGGCTTAGAGGGAATTCCCAGCAGACCAACAGAGGCCCCAACATTCAGTGTCTCTAGCATGGAATGTACTGCACTGGGAACTCCAGACATCTCCAAACCCACGTCAAAGCCCTCGCTCATCTTCAGCTCTCCCATCAGTTGCCTAGGCTCAATTGGCCAAAGTCCACTTTCCAGGCCAAAAGTCTGAAAAACAAAAACACGTGTTTCAACAAACCAGTGCTTCACCAAACCGTGTTGTTACGACTTTTGGCCCGCCTCAATTTCTCTGTGGCGTTGCCGTTGCTAACATTGAGCACCCGGGAGGCTCCGCATTTCAAGGCCAGGTCCAAACGGAACCTCGGTTTCTTTCCGCCCAGGTGAGCAAAACGGGGTCCACAAGACTGGGACCCCTGCTCCTGTGCATTCTGTGCTTCCAAGTTAAGCACGGCGTTGAGTGAGTTCCTTTTTGGGTAAGTGCCACGGCTGAGGTTGTGTATCGGCTCCAAGGGCTCCTCAGCCATTGTCACTGCCAGCTGCCAGCTCTGGTGGCAACGTTGGGATTTGCCTAGTCGTGCACGCCTGGCCATCTGTGCGCAGTGTCCGCTGGGTTTGCTGATTTCATTATTTGGCGCTCCCTGCAGCTCACGCGCGGCGCGCAAAGATGGTGACAAGAGAGGGTTTGCCACCTGTGCCAAAAGGGGGTAGCAAGGAATGGTGGGAGTCCCTTGTAGCATGAAACATGGATATGGTGTGGATCATGGTCTGGACCATGCTGTCGAGCATGGTGTGGATTTTGAGGGGAACATGGTGTGCAATGCATGGCCTGACGCGCAAAAAAATAACAAAACCAGCAGCACGGTCATATGTTCTTTCAGCAATCTCGGGTTTTGGTGGCCAGGCGCTCGTTGATGTCAGTGACAACGATGTGGCGCGCGCCCACATGCCGGCAAATGGCCACCGCCATGACACCGATGGGCCCAGCCCCGGTGATGAGGACGTCCTGGCAGGAAACCTGTTTTCGTCCAATACCAGTCACGTTCCCCTTAGAAGCCTATCAAATTCCCCTCTAGAAAATCCCCCAACAAACCGCCTCTGGAAACTGGTCAAATTCCTTGCCGGTCGAATCCCCCTAGAATCCGATCAAGTTTCCCTCTAGGAAACGATCAATCAAATTACCCTCCAGAAACCAATTAAAAAGGCCGTCCAAAAGCCGGTCCAACTCCAGCCATGTCCCTTTTAAGTTCCCCCTAGAAACCATTAAAAACAAATTGCAAACTCCTCCTAGAAACCGGTGCGCCTGCCCTTCGCCTTTCTCCTGCGCATGAGGCTAGACCATCATACGCGCAAGTGTTTGCAGCCCCTTGTTTTCTTCGTATCGCATTTATCTTTCCTATGGTATAGGTCCTGCGATTTACCGTCCCTTTAACCAACTTTGCCTCGTCCATGGTTAAGAGGCGAAAGGTAAAGAGTGAAGGCTTCTGGATCCCATTACTTACGCCCCATTCCCCTCTTCTATTCCTTCCTTCCACAGTTATCTCGGACTTGCGCGAGCTCCGACGCGCACAGCTAGGCGGTGCGGCGCCAACGTCGTGTAGGCGCAGTGGCCTAAATGGGACGAGCCAAATCGTGAACCCGTCGAATCCCCCGGCCGTTGGTGGCACGGAGAACACGCGAGATCGCGGCATCCCTAAGTTCACCCGAAATCCTGAGGATGATACCGTCAGTCGGGATATAAATGTGGCTGTGGGCACGACACAGCTGCCCGGCATGGTAGTGGCCAAGGCCAAAGGCTGTACAAAAGTGCCGGATGGCGGATTTGACATGCCCGACACAGGTGGCAATGGACGGCCGGGCAAAGAAACATGCAGGGTCAAAAATGTCATCACTGTTCTGCTTGGGTAGGCGCAATCGCGAGGTGCAGGCCAAAAGAAGGGTAAGCTCAATGTAGCTGATAGGCATAAAGCTCAGCTCAGCATCGTCAAGAGCATCAATCTGTTCGGCAACAAACCTGACCAATGCAATGGGGTAAGCCGGAGTGCGAAGTGCATGAAGCGGCCCCCAATTGATCGGAGCAGCCTCAACCAGACTTGTGAATCCGATAGCCAATCCCCAATCGGTATCCGCAGGAGGAGGGGCAGCAGGTTCAGGTGTTACAAGTCCAGCTTGAAGCCTTTCGGAAACTGCACAAAAGAAATTGCGATGCACCCGAAGCTGGTAGGTAACCAGGTCGAAGCGTTGGGATTCGCCGTTCCAAAGTTCCCAAAAAGCGGGGGTCCTGTTGCGATTGCATATGCCGGCTGCTCTGTCAGCGGCATCATTCCAAAGGCAAGCCCACTCCTCAAACTCGCTGGTACACAAACTGAAGTCCAAGTGTGACGGGATCCAATGTATGTAAACCAAGCCAGCGTTGCATTGAAGCAAGAGTTCGGCAAGTAAAGTTTTCAAGTCAAAGAGCCCCAGAGAGCTGTCCAGATGCATCTGTGGCTGCTCCAAAAGCTCAGTAACGAACCTGACAGTTTCCTGCAAGTCGCTCCAAATGTGAGTGGGCTGGTCATAGAAAAAGGCCCAGTGAACCGCGGCAACAATGGCATACAGTTCAGCACGTGCAGCTGTTTGTGTTAAACCAGGAAGTGGTCCGCCAGCGACCGGTCTCGTGGTGCTGGCATTGACTACTGCCCAGCTGGCAGCCGCAAGTGAGGGTCTGGAATTGCGAATACAGCTCCCATCCGTAAACAAATGTTGTGGTCCAGTGCCAGGCTCGGAGAGGAACTCAACGGAGTCTTCAAGAGTTGCAAAATAAGACTTCAACAATGTTGCATGCGGGGACCTGGCGACCAACAAATGCTGTGTGAAATGCTGTGGCGCTGCGGCGGTGTGGGTTGCTGAGGTGAGCTCAGGCATGCCAGCACGAATATCTGCGAAGCGAGGGCAGCTCAGCCAGTGTGAGGGCTCATCTGGAGTGCCGCAGCTAGGGCAGAGCCCAGTCTGGCAGCTGTCAAATTTAGCCTGTTGCGAAGGAGCCAAGAATGAGCCGTCGTGCAGGCTCATAGTGATGGCAAGGTGGTGCGGCGTGAGACGGTCGAAGCCGTGTTGTATGGCTTCGAGGTCAAGTCCCTGTAGCTGTTGAAGGGCCTTGCGGTGTCGCACCTGCCGGGCAACAAACTGTGCCCACGCGTCATGAAGCAGATGCTCGAGAGCAGTGGGATCAAGTCCAAGCAGGTTGTGCCCAACCCCATCGTGATCCTGAACAACAGGCGGAAGAAGCACACTCCATCCGATGAGCTCAAAGAGCTGCTGCATCTTGGAAAAGGGCCCAGTGGTGGTGGCGCGATGTCTTGTGCTGCAAAAGGCGCTCCAGTGATCAAGAAGCTCTGGCGACTTGAGAGCAATACGGCGAAAGTCGAAGACTGAGCGCCGAAGCTGGTAGTAGCCCGGATCGGCAGTGGCAGGGCGCGACAAGGAGAGCCGGAGCAGTGGGTTGGACCCACCATGCTGGATGTGGAGGGCCCTGGTTGCTTGTGTGCGCAGCTTTTGAAGATGTCGGTCACTGAAAACAGTGCCGCCAGCGCCATGTAGGGCTTTGGCCCAGAAGACGGCGGGCAAGGCATGGAGTTTGCGGGCAAGTGGGGCCCGAGAGCGCCGAAGGCGCCTCCAGTAGGGTTCCAGCCCAGCCCAACGTTGTAAGAAGAGCCGGTTGCGTTTCTGCAGGCCGTAGCAGACTGTGCCACCCAACTCACGAGCGTCCGGAAGGACGGGAAATCGAAGGACCCCGACTTCACGCCTAGAGGCAGCAGTAGTTCCCCAGGTGTAAGTCTTCTGCTCGTCGAGCTGTAGCCCCCAAAGGTGCAGGTATGTCCGGAGCGTGCAGAATGCCCCGGCAACTTGTCTGGCGGCAGTGGCCGTGATGGTGAGGTTGTCAACGAAGCTACGGAGCCTGGCTTCCGGGTTGAAGCGAGCAAGGTAAGCATGCATGCTCCAGTTGAGGACTGCCATGGCGGCAACACTCAATGGACAGCCTTCCGGAAACCCTGTGTTGGAGGTGTAGGCATCGCTGAGTTGGCCGTGAACAGAGAAGCGCCGCCTGAAAGTTGACAGGAACTTCTTCCAAGGAGAGGTAAGCCTGGAAGGAACGCCGAGATGGGCTGCAAGCTCGAAGAGGGGAACTCTTCGGATGTTGTTGAATGCCCGGACTATGTCAGAGGAGAGCCCACATAGCGAATGCTGTGACTCAATGGTGGCCTCGATTTGAGCCTGTAGCAAAAGCCAGACCTGGGCAGGTTCCCTGCCGGGGATGAACCCGTAGGCGTCTTCCGGCACCAGTTGGGCCAGCCAACGAAGTAGTTGGCGAGAGCGTAAAGAGGCCCAGCAGCGGTATATGATGCTGAGCAAAACTATGGGACGGTAGTGCACAGCAAGGTGCGGGGCCTCAACTTTGGCAAGCGAGAGAACAAACCCCTCAAGAAGTTGCACAGGCCAGCCAGTGTCGTCGTTCTCCTCAACAGCATGGAGAAGCGAAAGCAGCGTTCTGACCTGGGAGTCAGACATGGCAAGTAGATCACCTCGATCAAAGCCGTCGCAGCCACGCGCGGCGCGTTGTCGGAAGCGTTGGATGGACCGGCGCCATTGATTGACAGTGATGGGCGTTACAGAAAAAGTGCCAGTCGGCAAGTAGTGCCGAGCAACTTCCTTCCACAGTTAAAACACCTACTTGTGAAGAGAACTCGCCCTTTTCTCCCTCTCCCTCTCTCTACCTCCCTCTCTCTTTGTCTGCCTCTCTCTCCCTCCCACTTTGACCTGACACAAGATCAGGGAATGACATGAAGAGACGAAAGTGTGGAAGAGCGCGTTCATCCCCTTTCCTTTCCACTTCCTTTCGCGCAAGGGTTTCGGAGAGAGAGGGAGAGAGATGATGAGAGAGATGAGAGAGAGATGAGAAAGAGATGAGAGAGAGAGAGAGAGAGAGCCAAGAAGCGAACAGCGGACAAGATGTTTCCTCAGTTCTCGCAGCACTGCGTTACCCGTTGGAAGGGACATCGACAGTGTGACACCTTGCCTTCTTCATCCCACCCCTCGCTTTGCAACCCGGGACAGGGAATGGAGGTGGAGTGAAGGGATGCATCGCTCCCTCTCTCTCCGCTACTCGCTGAGTGTGGATAGGTAGGTGGCGGCGGGAAAGTGTGTGAGGAAGAGTGCTAATTAACAAGAAAAGCAACTCTCACCTCGCAGACGAAGGAGATGGAGGTGAAAGGTGGAACACGTTCGTCTCTCTCATTCTTGTTCCGCATCTTAAAATAGCCCTGTGGGATGTAATTGATGGCACCCCTTATCATTCTGTTTCTTAGTATTTGACGCCAACCCTCTCCTCTCTCTTTGCCTTGTTCATCACCCTCCTTTGCATTATCTTCTTGTTTGTTGTATAAAGGGAGATGTGGAGAGGATTGTTGTTGTAGAAATGGAGATTCGGGGAGGATAGGACAAGGATTTTCTATTTATGTGTCTTCTTTGTGTCTTTTCTTCAACGCCACACGGCAAATCTACCCTTCCTATTTCTCAATAACCAAGACCGGAACTCCACTAGCAATATACAGAAACTTCCGCTCATTATCAGCAAGATTTCGGGGGTGGGTGCGCGAGAGTCATTGCCCATTCTCATGTCTTCATCGCGCACCATTCCTCTCTCTTCACACCCTGTCCCTTCCTTCTCGTGTGATAGGATAATTAACTTTGGGTGGCAGGGAAGGAGTAGAAGAGGGGAAAGGCGTCATGGGGCTTAGAAACCTTCACTCTCTACCTCTCGCCTTTTAACCATGAACGGGGGTGAAGTTGATCAAGGGGCGGTAAATCCACAGAACCTCCACCATAGGAGAAATAGGGCGGTAACAAGAAGACAGGGGGTTTACAACACTTGCAAGTATGATGGTCTACAGTATCCTCATGGGAAGGAAGCAAAGAACAGGTTCACGGCTATCTCAGACATAGGAACCTAATAAATAATCGGTG